GTTAGAACACAAAACAGGAAGGAGTTTGTCTCTTTCAAAGAACAACTGTTAATAGCCTGCTAGATAAGCTTTCCCGTTAGTTTTCATCTACAGGCATTTCTTTTTGTTTTTCGAATGGCAACAAGTTTGCAGTGTCGGTTGTTCTTACAACAGGAATTCTTAAGAATCTGGTGGAGGTCATGTACATGCTATTTTTCCAGAACATGCAACATACGGAGAGCTAAATGATTGCCAAAGTTACTATGGTTTGACTGGTTTTCTAACTGAAATACTTAGTAGCCTTTTTCCTTTTCTTTTTATCTTTTTTTTTCAATTTTAAATTTGAATGCCTTATAGACATCACACAAGTGGTGGTTTGGGTTTTGGGTTTATATACTTTAACACTGGATTAAGAAGAATCATGGAGATCTTGCTGAAACTTTAGTTATATATGTTCACTGGGTAACTTTGTTCATCAGCTGGAACCTTTTTTCAGATTTTGGATTAGGATCAGTGGTCAAGATCTGTGAGTTGTGGTAGCAGGGGCCATGCTCTGGATTCTGTTTACGTATCCAGAAACAGAAGTAGATAATAAGATTAAAGAAGGATAATAATGAGAGAAGTATGAAGTTCATAGTAGTAAATGGAGCCTGTGTCTGTGTAGGCAGGTATTGTAACAGCTGTTTCTAGATGAATGGGCTTTACTGTCACTGAGTAGCTCTGGTTTCGGTGTTTCATTCTGCTCCAGAAATGAGAAGGTAATTTACCTGGCTCTCCAGGTATCTCTCTCCTACCATCTCTCTCATAGAGGGTGCAGCTCTCCGGAGATGCCTGTGGGCAGCAGCTGGTGTCCTGCAGCTGGGATGGCTGGTGCTGAGAGAGGGAGGAGGGCAGTAAGAAATGCAGGAGCTGTTGCAGGGAGTCAGGAGATGTTGCACGTTTGACCTGTAGGACAGAACAGATCCCGACTGAAGTCCAAGTGCTCGGATGTGGTAGAAAACCAGCTTCAGTTAATATCTCCCTGAATTTCAGAACCTGAGGCATATTTGCTACAGCATTTCATTTTTCTTGTCAAAAAGCATGTGAGTTGCTCTAAAATACTGTGATGAATTCCACTTTTGTTCTGAGAACTGATCATTATTAGTGTGACTTATTAGCATAATGTCACATCACTTGTTAGCTTTTCTACTGCTAACTTTTTTCTCCTGACTGCTTGTGAGTTCATTACTGGCTTTATATCGGTGGGAGAACGGTTTTGCTGAAAAGAAATTGGACAGAAAGAATGTGCGTGTGTAATTTCTTGCCACGTTGAACACCAAACCATCTGATGTGGTCCTCTGATGAAGATAGATGCTGGGCAGACTGGCCCGTGCCAGCTGCTTCTTCACGGGAGCTGGAGGGAGCGATGCTGTTAAGTTTTCTTCCTCTCCACTTCAACCGCCGTTTGGCTTAGTTCAAATGGGCAGTGAAAGCCCATGTGGTTGCTCAAAAGCTTTAGTTTAAGTCTTGTTTGCCTAGTATCTCCTTCAGGGATGGATTCTGAAGTGCATTTGCTCAGCCCAGTTACAAAAGCATCCGAACCACAGATGAAATCCTGTCTCCTGAGCTCAGGCAATGAATGGTGCCGGCTGAAGTGGTCAGGTTACTGGTGGTGAGCTGTGTCTCTGCAGTGAATGAATGGCTCATGTCTGGAGCCTGGCAGTCTTTCAGATTGCTGAGGAAGATTTGTCTTCCTTAACACCACTTAAAAATGTTTACGCTGATTCCCTTCTTTTAGAAGGTCAGGTCTTTTAGAAGTTGGTAGGAGGTGGCGGCTTAAAAGTTGTCTTTGCCCTTAAGACTCTCGGTCCAAGCCTTACTTTTCAGATTTTGAGATTAAGTGGTGATCCCTTTAAATGCTGTGCTCTGCCTTTCTGGAGGCTTTCTGTGGAGAGAGACGCTGATCAATATGTTGAGCAAATCTTGTTAAGTAATTTCCGAGACACCTGTGAACCTCTTATGTGCTGCCGCTTTTAGCATTTCAATGTGGCAATTGCTTAGTAGCCCAAAGCAAAGTTGTTGATGTAGATACAAATGAACAGGTCAAAGATAAGCAGAAGCAGCATATGAAAGGGCAATTCCAGCAGACAGCAGGACTCCCAGTTTCTTCTCTGTTGCTTTACTGGAGATAGAGGAAACAATTAAGCAATGGAAACTATTTATTTTATTCTTGCTCCCCAAAAGTTCATTTTTTTCCATAGAGTTGTATTTGCTGATTCTGCATCAGTACTCCCAAAGCAGCAAAGGCATTTTTTTAATTCAAAGGAGTGATATTTTTTTTTTTTTTCCTTGATGAACTTATGCTAAAGAACCCTGTGGGGGGTTGATGGAAAGGGGAGCATACCCACAGCCGTGTTGATAACTCTAAGCCTGCTCTTCAGCTCTTGCATTGTTAAACTATGTACTGCTTGCTTTCCTTTAAAAGAAAATCTCATCATTTCAGACTGATCTGTCAATGTAAAAGCAGTCCTACTGAACTACTTATTAGCTGCTTCATGCTATGTGGTGCAGGGCAAGGCTCTTGCCTATACACAGATAATTACCCTGGATCAGTTAATACCTTGGAACTTCATCTTGTAAGAAACCACAGCACGTGGCTCTGTTCCTCCTAACATTAATCCTGAAATTGAACCTTGTCTGGGCTGTTAAGTCTCGTTATCTGGAAGCCCATGTGGGTTTTTTGGTGCACAAAATGAGAATGCCTTTCACTTACACCCTTTACTAGTAACCAATTTTCAAAAAATAATAATAAATAATAATAAAAAAAAACCCATATGTCTTACAGGGAGTAAATGCCTGTGTTAAACCAGTAGCAGAATAATCCTATTGGCTTAAATTCAGTGCTTTGACTGGTCTTTGAATTTTCTGGCACAGTGGGCTGAGTAGGGGTAGTTCTGGCCTGAGCATCTGAGGTTCAGACACAAGTCTCTGGATCTCTGCTTTCATTCTGAGCCTCTAATGCTCACCCACTGAACTGTAACATTTAGACATGACAGATTTTTTTACTAGATGTATAACTGGAGTTGCTGCTTATTTCTTGCATTTGTTATGGACTAAAAAGCAAATTTCACATTAAATATATATGCTGACCTCAGAGTATATAGAGAGTATCATTTTGCTGGGAGGCATAGCTGTTGAAACAGGAAGGACTTTGCAAAAAATAAAACTTGAAGCTCCTATCAGTCACCTAGAAGAACAAAATATTTCAGAGGTAGAATTGCCTGATCTTATGATAGCTTGGGCTTTGTATAGACATATTTTTTTAAAAGGCAGTTATTTTAACTGATGTAAGCACAGAGCTTGAAACCATTTCTGCCAGAATGTTCATGTTATGGGTATGGTAGGAACTCCTGCTCTGAACCTGTGTATGTCAGTTGTACTGACAGATTGAAATCTCTGTACATAAGGCAATCGAAAAAATCAAATTTATGGGGGTTTTCTGGGTATAAAAAAATGGGGGGGAACATGTCCCATTGTCTTCCTGCTTTATAAATTGTTACTGGTGGGCGATTTCTTTATAATCCCCCAGTGAAGGCTGTCCCAGGTTTCAAAGGGCTGTTTGCCTGTCCACAGCGTGTGTCTGTTCAGTCCGGAATGTGTTTTTTCAGTGACTTTCTTTAAAAAGGCCTGGGAAGTAATCATCCGTAACAGCGCTCGGCTTGCCGTCTTTGTGAGCTGCTTCTCGTTCTGGAGCCTCCCTGGTTTCCAGTTATGTGGGCCCCTCTGAGCCTGATTGTGTAGCTATTTTTTCCTGATAAGTTGAACCTCCTCGTGGAATGTCTCCTTCCAGGGGATGAAAGGAGCGTGGGCAGCCACCGTGCCGGCTGTGCAAGGTGGTGCCTCTTGCTTCTGTAAATGGGGTAGCCAGCGCAGATACTTCCTCTGAACGCTTCTTTTAAGTCCTGATTTATTTAGTAGAATTAACTGTTCTACGTACTGCTTTGTAGTCAGCTATAAAACACGTCTATCTTGCAGCACTGTACTACTATTAATTTATTTTCAAATATATGTAACACAAAAATGACACATAAGCAGAATCTGAATTGCTGAGATACACCTTGCTGAAATGTTTTGTGGGTTTTTTTAAATCCGTGCCTACCAAATGTATTCAGTCTATTTTGATTTAAGACCGGCCACGTTAACTGCATTAGTATATGTCCACATCTAAAATGATCAAGTGTCAACTTTTAAGTGGCAGTAGGCTGGTCCCAAGGAACTTCACTACTACTGCTTGCATAGTGACTACAAACTTGCAGGTGAAGATCTAGCATGCCTTTAAAATGAAAATTTGTATATTACGTGTGAAATACAGTCTGTCAGTTCAATAGTTAGCTTTTATAATGCTGAAGTAGGTTAGTACAGAAAATGCTGGAATTTACTATAATTAGAAAAGTTTAATCATTCTCCAATGTTGTTTTTCGTGTTAATGTCTACTTTTGTTTCTTGCTGTAGCCATGCACCATGTGAATTTTTTTTTAAATGTTAGATAGATGTTCTTTATTCTAAAGACCTACACATTTTTTTTGGCACAGGATGTAGTAAGTTGGGCAACTGAGGAAGGGGCAATATCAGAGAAATGTATCTTGCCCTTCTTGCCTATGAAACTCCGTTAAGACCTTACTGAACAGTCCAGTTTGGGTGAACAAAATTAAAAAGGAGTCCTTCAGAAACAATTTTCATGGCCAAGAAGTTTGGTGTTCTGTAGAAAGCAACAGCAAGTTGTTTCTGGGTTAAACTGTAATTTACAGTGTTTGACCATGTGTTTAATGCTTGTGAGAAAGTACATGGATGACCAAAATATTAGAAGTTAACTGACTCTCAAAACATGCAGTAATCCAGCCCCGATTTCTGTGTCAATCATAATGCTGTAGCTGCTAAGCATTTGCCATAGCAGGTGGGGGGTGTTGGTCTGGGATTCCAGACACTGAAATGGTATTTGTTTCAGTACCTCTTTTTCCTCCCTTTTGTTTTTTTCCCCTTAGGAACTTAAGTTGCCTATGTATAAGGCTCATTCGCCGCAGATTGGGATGCGCCGATACTTCATTGATCTCTTGACTGTCCTCAGCAACCATTTCAATCTCTGCCCTACGGCCCGGCATCTCGCTATCTATTTATTGGATCTCTTTATGGATCGCTATGATATCACTGTCAAGCAACTGCACATCATTTCATTTGCCTGTCTTCTCCTAGCAAGTAAGTTGGCTGCTGTCTGTTAGGTTTTTTTTTTTTTCTGAGCAGATGGTTGTTTTCCTTACATATCATGTACTGTTTTCTCTGCGTTAACAGCTTCCACCTGCTTAGGGTAAGGCCTAATGAAGTCCAAGTCAAGGCACAAAGCAGTCTGTTAATAAACTCTGCTCAACTGCATAGCTTGCACTACACATCTGTATGCTGGTGTAATGTGCAGAGGAAGTTTTGGCAGCTGAAGCTGGGTCACTGGAAGGGGACAAGGAAGATTGGGGGTGATGGGGTGGGAAAAAAGTGGCAAGGCTGGCAGAGGTTAGTTCCAAGGAAGAGTTGGTAGTAGGGAATGACATCTGTGTAGCTCTCCTGGAGATCTGTCCTTGGACAATCTGTGCCTCTGTTGTGATCACTGGGCATAAGCAGTTCCTTGCAAATCAGAGGTTTCTTATACAGGGGCCAAAGGAAAATTTGCTTCTCAAGGCACTTAGTGGATGTGTGTGTTGATGATGCTGGAATGCATATTGCTTGTTCTGGGCTCCTATCAAATAGCTAGGCATTGCTGTGTAATACTAAAGTTTCAGTATTGGCATCCATTTAGCAAATGATCTTGAACATTTGTCATTAGTGCTTTCTTGAAATCTTCTTTGCAGCCAGAGCTGTGCAAGTGGAGGAAAGCGAGACTGGTGCCTCGAGGAATTGCAGTGTACCCTTGCAGACTTATGAACTCTGTTTCTAGGTTACAGAGAAATTATCCTGCCATATGGGAGCCATGTAGAGCAATGCACTATTGTGGACAACAAAAGTTCTGCAAACTCTAGCATTAATGGCTGAAAAGCGCAAGTAGTCATATTAGTTAAGGTAAAAAACACTGTGGAGAGGCAGAAGTTATTGAGGGAGGAAGGCGAATACTGTATGTTTACCCCTCAGGACATGAGATTGCTATGGCTTTTCCTTGCTGGCTGTGTTCTGAAGAGCTTAATCTGCAGAGATAATGGTAAAATAATTAAAACCCCTATGCACTTAGTGTATTTAAGCATTGCTGTCTATCTGACTCCAGAGAAGATGGTGAATTATGTGGAGCAGTTACTGGTTCATGTTGCAAAAAAGGCCGATATTAAAATCAGAACGAAGAAGGATGTAAATGGTTGCTGTAGGTGTAGTTTTAAGGCAGCCTAAGTGACTCTCAAATATCGCGGTTCTGTTGACCTGAACCTTTGGCGAGCTCCTTCAGACTAGTAGATTGGCAGAAAACCATCCCAGCTGAGGAAGCGTTTTCTTTATTTACCAGAGACTTATTTTTCTGAGGGGTCAGACAAGCTTCAGGCTAGTGCAATGGAGAGGAGAGGGGCTAGAACTAATTTGTAAACTGTTATGAAACTGTACCCTTAATTTCAAACACATCAGACTAAAAGAAATACCAAGTTTAGGTAGCCTGGAGACTGATGCCTGCTCAGAGGAGTACTCCTTCAGCTTTCAGACCATCTCCCTTTCTTTTTTTGGGTAACCTCATAACTACAAGATGCCTTGCAGCGTTGCTAGTCTTTTGCTAGTTTTTTGGGTTTGGTGGTGGTTTTGTTTTGCTCCCTCCCCCCCGCCAAGTGCATGGATGAATGTTACCTTCAGGAAGAGAGAAGAGGATTTTCTTTAGATAAATCTGATACTTTCAAGTATACTCCTCCTCCGTTTTTCCCAAGCATAAGATTGATGCTTCAGCAGTTCTTCTAATAACATTTCATTTGGATTTAGAGGAATGATTTATAGCTATAGTTTATGTTTCCAGAGCTACACAGATAGGATGAAAACGGTCCCCTCAAACTTTGTACAAATTGTCGGAGTTGGTATGCTGGTAAGATCTTGGGCAGAGGTTCACTATATGTGATTGGGAGAGCTGGACTGCTGACTTGTGTAGCTTCTAGGATTTAAAAAAGAAGCAAAAAAGCTTTCAAGACTTTCCTTATGTAAATGACTGAAGTAAAATGCAACTTCAGGCCACCTCTATGCAACTGTGAAGCTAAAGGAAGTTCACAAACTGCCTTGTGATAACACTGGAGGGAAATGTTTTGCAACTTCTGCCTGTTTAAAAAAAAAAAGTCAATTTGCTTAAAAGAGCAAGCCTAAGTCTAGTAAGCTAATGAGTATGAGAATCTTTCTAAAATTAAGATTAGAGCAATGCAGTAACATGTATACATCCTGATCTGGAATTAAATCATCCCTTACAGGAAGGGGAAAAGGTCTATTACCGTAAAGGCAGCTTTCCTACCAACATGTAGAAACAAAACGTTGAAAGTTGAACCAAAGCAGCTTTGCACAAAGTTAATGCCTAATTAACTTGTATAGATAAGATTTAAAATGCTAGGGCTCAGTTTGGAGACTTTCGGGAGCGTAGTAAGCTCTGTTGTTTACTGTCTGGGCCATCTTATCATGCAATAAAGATATTCTTTTTTGGTACGTGTAGTTCAAAGTGATGCAAGTCAAGTCAGGAAAAGCTACTTTACAGTAAGAGGGAATTCTTTTGTTTAGTTTGTTACTTTCAAAATTATATGAAATGGAAGAAAACTTGTACTATGATTTTTTTTTTTAATGTTTTGTAGTAAAAGATTCTGATTAAGTCAGAAGTATCGACCTGAAGTCACCTCAGAAGTTCTCATTGTAGCAAAGAATAAAAAAACCTAGTCCCTTGCCTGTTACTGCAAATGCAGTAATTAGAACTTCCCACAAAGCATTACTGTAGGAAGTTGCATAGTTTTTCAGCAGAGGATTGCAGTAAAAGTGCTCTTCAGGCTGTGTTGCAAGACACTTGTACTTCGAAAAAATAATATACCTTTACTGTAGAGAGCAAAAAACTAATCTTTTTTTAAAATAGTTGTGGTGTTTACATCATATCAAGATGAATGTTTAATGCAGACTGTCTTTTCAATAATTGCTATAAACGCATTTGGAGAAACTCTGGGTTTTCTTCCTGATTGCTTCCTTAGAAAAGAGCAAGAGATTAAGGGTGGTGTACAGACCACAAGCAAGACGAGGTGTACTTATTCCCACTAATTATTGTAAGTGTGGGGTTTTTTGGGGGTGGGAGGGGCACAATAGAGAAGCTTTTAGACACACAACTTTTGAAATGGAAGCAACAAACTTCTAAGCTAAATGCAAGTTGAGGACAATTTTTAAGCTCAGAGATATTGCTGTAAACTTGTGTTTAGCTTTGAAGTTTGTTGCTTCTATCTCAGATCTAAAGGATCTCACAAACTTGTCTTTTTTTCTTTCTCCCCCCCTCCCCTTACCTACAAACATTGCCGTTGTCCGAAAAGCGGATTCGTGCCCGGCGTGCAAGTAACCAATTCCACACGCTCAGGAGAGATATTGTTTTATTCAGGCCTGGGTGCTCGGTGGACTTGCCACAAATCAAGCACACCTGGTCTAATCACCTTTCTGTTTATATCCATGCTTCTCATACATATTTTAAATTTCACTTCTACATATTCATTAAGTTTCCGGGAACTAATTATAATATTACATCATTCTTTACGCATGCGTACTAAAGCCTTTAGGGTCTTCTCCAAGGGTCTCGGGTGGTCTCTGGTGGTCGACAGGGTAGTGAACTTTCTGTGAACTTGTCCTTCCTTCTCCTTATAAGGTTGCAACTTGTCCCCGAGCCCTACTTGGATCGCTTTTGTTTATGGTTTCCATAGTCAAAGTTAATTATCACTAACATCTAACAATATTTCCACAACACACAATCTATATTCGTTATCATTCTACACAATATATCATTAATTATTTAACAATTCCTATTATTTAAAATCACTGAAACAAATACATCCACAACAAACCAACCTATCTATAACTATAATATATTCTTCTTAAATTAAAACAAGTACCCCAATCTATCAAATCAAATATCAATCTTATCCCTGTTTCCCAAACTATTAATTCCCTATTTTGATTTAAATCAACTGGTTTTTAACCCAGTCTTAGACAGGGGCTGTACAAGGGACTGTAACACTTTTGAGGTTTATAGCTGCACTCATAATATTTATCCCAACATTGCCATAGCCTATTTTCAATAGCATACAAAAGCAATGCTCTCATGATGGAGAACATAGCATTTTGCTAGATGTCCTTTAGTTAGCTGAAGCTAGTTTCTCTTGCTGTATTCTAGAAATGCGGTTTGACTGGCTCATCAGACAGGGAAACTAGATGATGATAGTGCTTTCCACTTCGGTAGTAATTGTGAAAGAGATGAGGGAGTGAGAAGATAATACTGTTTCAAACAAATTGCACTAGCAGCCAAGTAATGTTCAGCCTGGTCTTGCTGCAGTTGAGAGGAACGTGGGTGCGTGTCCCTCGAATCATCCAGTTGTTCACTATCCAGAAGATGTATGTTTCTTTTGCAATGTATGCACAGCGTGATAATTGGAGAAGGCCTCTGGAAATTCCTGCCAGATAGTTTAGCTCCTCAGAACAGCTATAAAAGCTTTGAAGTTTACTAATGTCATCAATGGTTATTATTTCCTCTGAATCAGTTCTGAAAAAGAACGTTAAAAATTATTCACAGTAATCTAGAGGTGAACTGAAAGCTATCGGGGTAGGGAAGGAAAAGTTGCTGGAAAAACTGATGTCACAGTTACTTTAGGAATGTATTTAGAATAGCCTGTCCCTTTCACTTGCATTAGGGGAAACTTTATGATCTAAATCAGAATCATGTAAACTAAACGTTTTTGTATGTGGATGTTTTGGGTAGGTACATGGTTAGAAGAAGAGGACCTCCTTTTGAGCTGTGGTAATACAAGAGGTTGTAGGTTCCTGCTGCTGCAAGATCATTAGTGAAATCCAGTGGTTTTAATTGCTGAAGACAATCCATCTGTCCCTCGCTTGAAGCAGACTGGTGATTACTCAGGTTGACTGCTGTTAGCTCAGGGAGATGCTGGCTTTTGGTGAGAAGTAATGCTGGGCAGCTGGGCCTGGTGGTCTTCAGGCAAGCCAGCTGGATCTAGAGCAGGGTGGTTACCAGT